TGGGATGGGACAGGGGCCGAGGATCGTACACAGATCGACGAGGGTGCTGGCGATGTGGGCGCTGACTGCGACGGGAGCACTGCAAGTGTATGTGTGGCTGTGGGGCGCGCGCCCGGCGTGCCGCTCGCGCAGCAGGTCCCTGGAAGGGATGGTCCCCCTGCCCCGCGCCGCGCCGTTCCCCACTCCCTTTTCCCCCCACCTGCCCCGCAGTGCCTCAACCTCATGCCCGAGCTGGCCCTGGCCAACGTCTTCACCTCCTTCTTCTTCGGCTTCTGGAACCTGATGTGCGGCTTCCTCATCCCCGCATCGGTGCGTGGGCTCGGAGGCGAGGGCTGCCTGGGCGCCGCCGCGGCCTCGCCCGGCCCGGCTGCGCGGTCGTGTGGAGGGCGCACCCCTGTGCGCACACCCACGCGCCCCCCCCCTCCCCCCCCCCCCCCCCCTCCTGCGCAGGCAATCCCGGGGTGGTGGATCTGGTGCTACTACATCAACCCCGTGTCCTGGACGCTGTATGCCCTCATCGTCTCCCAGCTGGGTGACCTGGATGACGAGTACATTGTTAACTTCACCAACCAATCGGTGAGTGGGAAGGGGGGCCGAAAGCCAGACCGGGCCGGCAGGCTCCAACCTGGGCGGGGTCGGCGGCAGCACCCCCACGCACCGGGCTCCCTGCCGTGCAGACGCACCCGTGTGCTTGCCGAGGGCAGGCCAGGCTGTCGCGCGGGGCCCACCCCCCTGTCGCATCGGCTCACGCCCCACCCGACAACCCCCCACAGCGCCCCGCTTCCTGTATGCCTGAGCCTCCCCCCTTCCCCCCCAGGTCCCCATCCCCGTCTTCCTGGTGGAGCTGTTTGACTACAAGTACAGCATGCTGTGGCCATCCATCGCCATCATCATCGCCTTCTGCGTGGTCTTCAACTTCGTGTCCTTCCTGTCCCTGCGCATCCTCAACTACCAGAACCGCTGATGGCCCCGTCCACGAGCCTGCCATGGCTGGGCCGGAGCCCGCGCCGTCATCAAGGCGCGTGGCGGCGGGCTCCTCGTGCGCAGCCGGCGAGTACAGGGCTCCGGTCCCGGCACTGTGTGGTCCTGACGGATGGTCAGCGCCGCACTCCCTTTGGTCCCCGTCACATGTCGAGCTGTAACACCACGTGTTGATGTGGTTGCGGAGTGGGTGTGGAAGCGCGGGGTGTGTGGGTCTCGGCTGCTGATGGAGGGCTTCCAGGGCTGCTGGATCTGACCCTCGGGAGCTGGCACAGAAGGGGAGGCATGCCACTCCCATCCAATGGACAATTCCCTACAGGCAGAGTTCCTCTGTGAGTATCTGCGAGTCTCTTGACTCACAGTGAGCCCAAGAAACGGGATGGGAAATCAAGGCGGGTCTTCCCACCGCTGCTTTGACAGGAGCTGCGATGCCGGAGCAGAGCATCATTCCTCAGGGCAGGTTCATGGCCGCGCAATTCGCGCTGCTGAGGGGCGAGGGGGGGGCCACCTCACGTTCTCACCCCGGCACGCGTGTTCGACCGCTTTTTATTTGATCAAGCAAAGCAACGTGGATTTGTTGTGAAGCCTGATGGTTTCCGACAGGAGTTACCCCTGAACCTGGGGTTGGAGGAGGTTGACCCTACCCCTTGCCGACTCCGATCAGCTTCCCCATTACAACGCGAGGGCCCTGGGTTTGGCCCCATCATGTCGTTAGAGGGCGACTACTCAAACTACACAGCTGCACAATGCTTCGGTCTGCAGGACACGGAACATCAAGTTGCCTGCTCCGCGCAGCACCTGAACATCACCAACCCCCCCTCCATCTACGGATACGAGCACTATGAGCAGCTCTGGCTCTCCACCGCCTGCCTGCTTTGGAATGTGACCACGGGGCACCGAGTAACCGTTCACGGTACGATCGCCAGGGTGGCGTTGGCCCTAGGGTTCTTGCACCCACGGCGCCCATGAGACGGGCATGCAGGAACACCCCTTACCCACCCCGCCACATCAACCCCATGGCACAGATGACTTCGTGTGGTGCTCCGTGCCATTACAAGCCCAGGACGCATTTTTGTTCGTGGGCCTCGCCCTCCTGGTCATGGCGACACTGTTTGGGAAACTGTCAGCGGTGTGGGTGCTGATCACAGGTGTGTGCACGGCGCTGTGTTGCGTGAGAGGCTCCAAGAGCTTGGACATTTGGGCTGCCTGGTGTAGCAGTTGTGTCCTGATGTATCGCTATCGGGGGCCTCATGCTGGCTGATTTGACATGAAGGAGGGCCTTGGTGAGTACACATGGAGAGCTCGCACCCTGCCTCCACAGGTGGTGTCTTGGGAATAATCAACTGGCAAGTGAACCTGGGCCTCATTTCAAATGCCATCAGCATCTGGTGAGTACGGTGCCCCAGGTGACCATGGTCACTTCATCGCTGCCTTGTGTCAACGTTCCAGAAGCGCCTCCTTGTGGCTTAATTGTCTCATTCCTACCACCCGCATCCCCCCCCCCGCTCACCACCAGGCTCAACATTCAGCCACCGGATCTCTTCTTCTATGCATTCCTCCCGCCCTTGCTCGTCGACTCAGCCATTCGCATCGATTTCTTCATGTTCCGCAAGGTGAGAGTCGGCAGAGGTCCACCTCGGCCTTGGAATTACTTGCAAGAACGTGTCTGCGACTTGCCCGACCAGCCTGCCCTGCCCAGCCCAGCTCATCCTATCAGTCACCCATTGCCCCCCTTCCTCCCTGCGCAGCTGAGCCTCCACGCCGTGATGATGGCGTTTGTGATGGTGGTCCTCTCCGCCCTCATCCTCACGCCCCTCATCCTCTTCGTCCTGGGCTTCCAGGACCGGGGCTGGTCCTGGGTGCACGGCGCCCTCTTTGCCAGCATGATTGCGCCCACAGATGCCCTGGCTGCGGCCGCCATCCTGAAACAGGGTATGCTTTGTGTCGTGCGTGATTGTGAGGGGGAAAGGCCGGCGTATTCTACACGGGCACTGCCGAGTTTCTTGAGCGTACTGTGCTGCAGCCCGCCGTCAACCCTGCCATCGAGAGCAGCACCGGATCAGCCAGCTGGCGCATTCACACACCACATCTCCTCCCAAGCGAGTCATCACCACCGTCCCCTCCTCTTCCTCAGGGGGTGGCCCGGAGCGGCTGGTGGTGCTGATGGAGGGGGAGGCGCTGCTGAACGATGCCTCCGCCATCACCCTGTTTGAGGTGTTCATGCACATCATCGAGGAGCACATCAACCCCGCGGAGCCCTACCCTTCGGTCTGGAGCATCCTGCCCACGATCATCACCCAGACGCTCAAGTGGGGAGCGGTGGAGGGGCTGGAGGGCCGGGGCGCAGCAAGACTCTGGGATCCCTGGTTCCCACGAAGAGGGACATCAGGGGTCAAGGGGCGGCCTCGAAGGCCGCATGCCGGATCCAGGGAAACAATCCCTCACACCCCGTCCCCCTGTCCTCACTCCCAGGCTGGCCTCGGTCGGGTTTGCCATCGGGCTGGCCATGTCCTGGCTCACTTTCCACTTCCTGCACTGGCTGAGGTGGAGGGGGGCCAAGCCGTACGTGGAGAACAGTGTTATCATTGCGGTGGCATACCTCTCCTTCTATGTCGCCAACGATCCTGCCAAGGTGTGTTTGCGGGGTTGACTGCAGAAGAGGCTTCTTTAAAAGCTCCCTCGCGTGCATCACCCCAGCTCAACCCCCCCCCCCCCCCCCTCCGCTCCCTGCGCTCCAGGGCTCGGGCGTTATCTCGGTGGTGGTCTTTGGCCTCTATGGCAACATGACCTCCAAGTGGGGCATGCTGTCGTCGTCCGAGGAAAGCGGGGCGTTTGACGCAGGTGAGCGACGTGGTGGTGGGGTGGTAAGGGGGAATAGAAGGGCATGCAGGCCTGGGAGAGGCCATGGTCATTCACAGTCCAGAGGGCGCGTCGGCATGCAGGTTGGGTCTCTGCAAATCAGCACTAGCCCGTCTGGTCATATGTAACCCCCCACCCTCATTCTTGCTGCAGTGTGGGACGCCATCACCTTTTCGGCTAATGGACTGGTGTTCCTGTGGAGCGGTATTGCAGCCGTCAACTACACCGTCAAGTGAGGCCAAGGCATAAAACTGGATGTCGGGCGATGGGGCTGGCAAGCAGGGCTCCTGATCATAAACCCCCATGTCTCTAGGTGATTCCCAGCCATTCCCCCTAAACCCTCTGTCCCCCTTCGGAAACCCTCCCAGCTCCGTCGCCATCCTGAACAACACGGCCTGGAGTTACGCAGCCATCCCCCTCATTTGGGTGTTCATGTTTTTCATCCGAGCAGGGTGCCTGGTGCTCTTCAACCCCATCTTCAAATGGGTCGGGGAAGGTGGGCAGCTGGTGACAGGGTGGCAGTAGGGGCACTCAAGACGTATCCAGGCCGCGATGGTCGAGCAGGCCGCATGCGTCGGGTCCAGGGGTGGCGTACTCCAGGAGGTTGGTCATCCTGTGCCAGGGATTGGCACTTGGTGGCTCAGTTTTGAGACAATCCCAGAATCAGCCTGTGCAGAGCCACAGCTTGCGCACTGGACGCCAGGCGCGTCGTCACCATGCTCATGCCAACCCTCCCCCCTTGCAGCTCTGTCGACCCAGGACATCATTTTCACCAGTTGGTGCGGCCTCCGCGGCGCAGTGTCCCTCATCATGGTCGCGGACTTTATCTCCAACAGGTGAGGTGCCCCATGGGTGGGGATTTGCAAGTTTGGGTGCGGGGATGGACGGGGGGAGTTCTTCATTTGCAGCTTTATTGTTTGGCCAAGTGAACAACAAGCGTCTTGCGCCCATTTCCCGCCATTCATCACATGGCCAGCGGGTGTTTGCCTGTCATGGGCCACCGTTTCCAGCTGCATGCTTTCCCTCCACGCCCGCCATCCTCCTCTGCCCGCCCTTTCCTGCGTACACCGGCCGTGCATCCACTCCATGACCATGCTTGGACCTCGTCATAATAATACAAGCTGACATCTCCTGCCCACCCATCCCCCCCCCTTTTCCCCAACACCAACAGTCAGTTCCACCTGGGCGACCGCAACAACCCTGAAGACCCCTATACTGTGCTGAACGCAGTGAACGCGGACATCAGCCTGTGGACCTCGGCCTTCGTTCTGCTCACCCTGGTGGTCAACGCGCCCTTCATCGGCCAGATCATGGCCCTGCTGCGCCTGAACAAGATTCCCTGGGAGAAGCGCAAGATGCGGGCCAAGGCCAAGGCGGCGCTGGTGCGCTTCACGTCCAACGCGCTGGAGGCGCTGCAGACCGACACCGACGAGTTCCTGCAGGGCGCCAACTGGGATGCGGTGCTGGCCTACGTGGATGTCAGCACCGCCCTGGCCGCCTTCGACCTCCCCGCCAAACGCAGCGAGTCCTTCGCAGAGCCGCACGGCCGCGGCCTGCCAGCGCTGTATCACAGGGTCAAGTCCGCGGTGTTTGGCCGCATGAACGACCGCGGGTCGGCGGTGCTGGGCAACCCCGCGGTGGAGGTGGCAGACATCATCCCGCACATGGTTGGGGTGAGGACCTCGGCCGGCGGGGTCGGGGCTGTCCCCGAAGGCGACTCCCCGGCCAAGGGCAAGCTGGTGGGGGCGGATACCAGCCCCAACGGCTACACATCCGACTCGGAGAGCACGGCCTCCAGCAACTTCACCATGTCTGACATCTCCGATGTGGTCGAGGAGCTGCGCGGCGAGATTCCCTATCTCCACCACGACGGCCTGGCGCGGGTGAGTTGCAGGGGCGGGGGGAGGAGTTTGAGAGCCTAGCATTTCCTCCCTGCTCTGCGGCAGGAGGCCTTCGTGGGCCCACCCCTCAAGTGCCCGCCGCACCCGGGCCGGGTACCTGCAAGGTCTTGTTGGTAGTAGGTGCCCAAACCATGCACGTGCTCACCCGTGATCCTCGGTCCTCCTCACGCACACACAACCCTGCAGACCTCGTGGCACGAGGGCTCCGCCGATCTGGAGATGGGGCTGGGGCGCGCCACGGCAGTCCCCGGCGCCGCCCTAGGTGCCCCGCCTGCCACGCTGACCCCGCGCCCCTCCCCCCACGCCAGCTCCGGGTCGCTGACGCACGGCAGCGCCTCCGCGCACTCCGGCACCGCTTCTTTCGTCGGGGAGCGCCTCGCCACGCCCTTTGCCGCAGCGGCCGGCCCTGGGCCCGACGTGCGGGCACGGGAAGAGGAGGAGCGGTACTACAGCACGCTGCCCGCGCTGAGCGCCGCGCAGCTGGGCGCCGCGCTGCGCGAGTCCATGGCCGCCGAGCAGAAGGCGGCGGGCAAGCGCGCAGTGGGCGCAGATGGCGAGGGCGGCGACGGCCCGGTCACCGCATCTCCATCGAGCGCCTTTGCCCCTGCCGGCGCCGCTCCGCAGGCCGGCGCGGGCCCCCGAATGAGCGCGCAGGAGGAGCACGAGGCCTACTACTCCAGCATGCCGGCCGCGCTGGGCGCGTCCCTGGGCCGCGAGCTCCGCGCCCAGCTGACCAAGCGCTCGGCGGACTTGGCGTCCGCCGAAGGGATGGTGGTGGGCCAGGAGAAGCAGGAGCTGGTTGGCGACGAGCGGGCGGGCGGGGGGAAAGAAGAGCCCGAGCGGGACGCACAGGCGGTGCTGAATGAGGAAGACGTCATCAAGGCGTCGGTCCAGCGTGCCTTTGCGGCCGCGCTGGCTGGCGAGCGCGGCGCGGCGGGTGGGCGCGAACCGGTTCCTGAGGCTGTATCGCACGAGGGTGATGCCACTGCGCAGCCGCCATCCGAGCCCCCCCTGGACTACTACTCCAGCATGCCCGCGGCCCTGGGCCGGCGCGTGGCGGGCGAGCTGGCAGCGAACCTGGCGCAGCAAACGCAGCACGCCCAGGACGCCACCATGTCTCTGCCCCTGGGCCTGGCGCCTCGCCAGCCCAGGGGGCGGCCTGACGTCGTGCTCGGCGGCGGCGACAGCAGCGGCGAACACGACAACGACGACGGCGTGCAGAGCGGCACCGCCTCCGCGCGCATGACCTCCCAGGCGGGGAAGAAGATGCAGGCGGAGCTGGCGCGGCTGCTGGCGGCGGGGCGCATGAGCTCCGTGCCCGAGGGTGGGGGGGCGCCGCCGCCGCGCCAGGCCGGGCGGGCGGGCGAGGCGACGTGGAGGGCGATGCAGGAGGAAGGAGAGGAGACGGAGAGCGTGGCAAAGGCAGAGGGCGCGGCGGATGATGGTCGGGCGCAGGAGAACAATGAGGCACACGGCAGCGAAGGCACCGGCGACAGGTCGTCCTCGTCCCAGTCGGCGGAGACCGTGGCGCTGCTCGCGCCGGCAGAGGCGCCTCCCAGCGACGCCCAGGAGCCAGCGCCGCAGGCTCGACCTGGTGCGGAGGGAGGGCATTTTGGGGTGATGTTGAACCTTGAGAGGGAGGCCAACTTTCAAGGACGATTCGAATCCGAAGCCTGCGCCCAGCAGTGCATGTTCCTCACTTCTGCATGGTCATCTTGACAAGATCCCCGCACACTCAAGACCTCCCAAACCCCCTGATTTTGCAGAGGAGGGGACGCAGGCCAATCACTTCTCGACCATGCCCGCCCAGATGGGCAGGGCCCTCCAGGCACGCCTGCTCCAGGAACTGGCCAAGCAGCGCTCGATAGAGATGACGAGGCCTCCGCCCCAGCAGCAGCCCGGGGCGGTCGCAGCGCGGCCGCCCAGGCCCAGCCGAGGTGGGTCGAGGATCTTTGATGGTTAATGAGGTTGGGAAGGGGGGCAGGGACACGGCACGGCAGCCATGAGTGATACTGTAGTTTCTGCATGTTGTGACCTGCCTGACAGATCAGGGCCATCGGCATCACCATGGTTGGTGCCCTCACTGTGTTTGCCTTGCAGTTAGTTGCAGTTGTACCTTGGATCGTACCCCCCAGCCCATCCTCTTCCCCCTTCCTTGTCTCATCAGCGTCACGGGCGACGAGCGCAGACATGCGAGGCACAGACTGGGATGCTCATGCGACGGTGTCTGGAGTCATGGGTAAGGCGGGGCAGGGAGTACAGCTGGCAGCAGGGAGTTCAGCTTGGGGATTGCCTGGTGTTGGGCAGGTGAGGTCTCACAGCAGACACCAGCGAGACTGGGATGAGCATGCTCCTGCCCACAAACAGGCCGGAACCTGCGCCAGGAGCTGGAGAGGTCTCGGGCAAACCTGCCTGGACACTCGGCCAGCTTCAACTCCCAGCAGACCCTCCTTGGGAAGAAGGTGGGGTGGGAACCGTTGCTTGAACAAGACTGAGCATTCACATTGGGAGGTGCTTTCCTTGGGTCGCAGGTTGCGTGGCGAGGAGGGCGGACCATGTGCACATCTGAACCTGTCTCCTTCTGCGGCAATATACATTGTATCCCACACATATTCACCCTTACCCCTGGCGCAGACGGCAGAGACCTCCCTCCCCTCCACACACCTGGATGTGACGCCCTTTGCCCGGCCCATTGCCTCACACCAGACCCACATGTGAGACTGTGTGGGCAGTTTAGGTTGCTTGTGCAGATTCACAGGCCCAACCAGGACCGTATGATTTACTCAGCCAGCTTTGTCTCCCCGTCGGCAGTTTGCTTTACCACCCCCTTGGGATGCCAACCCCATGCCCTCAAAATCCACCCCTTCCCTCTCCCCAATGCGCGACAGTCACCACAAGAGGGGCGGGTCGGGGTCGGCAGCCCACGGCAACACCCCCTTCTCCAACGTGCTGGCAAAGCACCGGCTGGCACACACCCGCGGCCCCAGCATAGACCCCATCCCCGAGGCGCCCGTGGCGGCTACGCCGCGCCCGCTCAGGGCGCAAGCGGAGGAGTCGCTGACGCCCCGGTCACAGGACGGGCGCCCCAGGGGAGGCACCCCCGTGAACGTCGTGGAGAGCGTTGTCGCAAGGTGGGTGGGTGGGTGAGGTGGGAACCCAGGCCATGGAATCTTTTATTTGTTGGTGGTGGTCGGCAAGGGGCCGTCGGGTGTCACCGTGTGCCCAGGTTGCCAGGTGACCTACACTTCTGTCCACTCTCAGCGGCGCACATGGGCAGCTAAGACAATCTCCCCCCTCCCCCCATCTCCTGCACCCGCCGCCCGCTCTGCAGGTCGTGGCAGAACAAGGTGGACAAGGCCAGCCTGCACAAGCTGCCCCTCCGCGCCGGGCTGCCCATGATGGCCATGCTTGGCACCACCCCCTCGGCAGACCTGGTGTCCCACACAGGGTGAGGGTCTGGGGAGGGAGAACCTGTGTGAGGTTTTGTGTGTTCGGCTATTGCAGTGGTGGGAGGGGTTGTTGGTACCGCCGGGCATTGCTCCAGGACTCACAGCGAGACTCTGGCGCAACAGTCTGAGCAGCTGACCCGTGGGGCCACGGCTTGTCCAGGAGGGCGTGCCGAGCTTCCGAGGAGCACCTTTGCACCGGAGCAGGCGCATCAAGCCACGCCCGCCTCACCCCCCCCCCCCCCCCCCCCACCCCCCCACCTTCCACACCACT